TGTTTCACACTTCATAACTTTGCAAATACATACGTATCAAGAAGCCAAAAAGTAGACAATATATACGGTCTGTGAAAAAATAAATCAATTATTTTTGCATTAAATTGAAGGTTTAATTTTGCATCATTAGAATGATCCGATTTGGGGCAAATATGTAGCATTTTGTAATTTCCTAATACCACTTTCATAAAAACTATCGTCTCTATTGGCAAAAATTTTTGACAAACTTTTCTTCAGGCGAATTTTTCATCAGCAAAGTCATTCGGCATAGACAGGAAAATGTAGTCACTTGATGCCTGATCCAGGTTATAATATTGATGCATAAGAACCGCGCAACCAAGCACCCGGAGCTTCTGGCGAATCAGTATCACGGCCGCTTAAATATAGTCATAAATTTTGTTACCTTCAGTATAATTCATCGTATACCTTCAATCGATTAATTATGAGTTCTCCTGAGCAAATATTTAGTTTTTAGTAAGAAAAAAAGTTTATATTATATGGCCTCTATTTCGTAAAGTTGACTACTAAGCGATGTTTCCTTTCTATGTTTCTTTAGCAAACATATTTTTTGTTATCTTTACTTTGCGTTCTCTTTACTAAAATTTTAGGGATTTTGGTATATTTTATCCTAGCCAAGACTCGAACCTCAATTATGACAGTTAAGCTAAGTTTTACTAATTATTTGTTCGATTCGGTACTCTTATATGTAATTTTGAAGGGTCTAAATACTACTTCATTATTGAAACTGTATAGCTTAATTAAGAATGATTGATGTAAGATAAAATGTATTATATTTTAACAAAAATTTTCTATCAAGGCTAAGAAGTAACTTAAATGGAATAACACAAGGAAGCTGTTTTGTTTTGATAGGAAATGGAAAACAATTGGATACAAAGAAAGTCTGCCGTGGTTTTCATAATTTATTTTTGTGATTTATTCATATTTCTTTATCTGGTTTCAAGTCTGTTCTTAATATTAGCTAATGCTTTTTTCAAGCATAAAAAGTCTGTATTCTTAAAACTTTTATATAAAAAGATGAAAAGAGAACTGAGCAAAACATCTCAAGAGCACATTTTGAATATCGTTTCTGTAACATTTATGATTTTTTTGATGCCATTATATGAATACATTTTAAACAATAAAAAATTTTTATAAATGTATTGTTTTAAAAAATTAATATTATTTCCTCCCAATCCAAATTCTTTTTACTACCCTGTTATATAGTGTGACTAAACATCAGTATTTCTAAGACCGCTTTAACAAAAAATTGTTTGGTATTTTTTTATTCTCCACATCAAGTCAACTGTTGCAAATTGAAAGTATAATTTTCCCAACTCTTTACCTCCTCTCACATAAGTTGAATTTTTCTCCTCTTACAAATACATTTCTCATACGCTTAGTCTCATAATCTACCCTTGCTTGACCCAAAACCGCTTATATAACATATCAAATACAATCTTTCTAAAGAAAATGTAACTTTAATGCAAATAAAATAAAGTGAATTGAAAGAAAAACTTCACGGAAAGAGTTTGAGTTGACATTGCACGAACTGTGCATTAAAGTGAGCTTAAACGAGCGCATTGAAAGCTTATAAAAACTATATTAAAAATAACGAATTATGCAAGACATTGCACTCGTGCTACCTAAGTACACAGAAAGTGGCGAAAATGCAAAATTAAGGTATGACTCAAAGGCTTTGCTATAGAAATATAGATTTGTGCACTGTCGCCGAAGTTTTTCGCCACTATACTATTAATCTACCCACATACATACATATTTCCCATGCAGCAAGTTTTTGTCTTAAGTCTTTCGTTTAAAATTCGCTACCTCAGTTTTAAGATCTTTGGTACGCCGTCGCCTGTACAGGGCGTGTCAAGAGTTGCATGTGCTGAGCACACGGCGAGAAAAAGTAGATAGAGTATGTGGTGTTAGTGACAGTGCCCAGCATAAGTGGCAAGTCACTACCAGCAGCAAACGTTGTCGCAAGGAAATAAGAGTGCAAACAAATGCGGGTTTGCTCAAGCGCGGCATTGTAAAGTGTGACGTTGTTTCATGGGTAAACCGAAGTGCAAATTGCGGTTAAAAATTACAAATTTGCAAAAACAGTAAATGAGTTAAAAAATAGCTATTTAAAATAAGATTATAAAGTAAATATAGGCAAGTAATGAACGTAGTTCAATGTAACAGAAATATGCGGAAAATAGGCGAGTTGTGGTGACAGTCATTGTCACTCATTTGGCGTAGTGAGTTGAGATCGATTACTGTAGGAGCGAAAGTAATTTTGTTAGATAAGTGTTTCCACAAAATATGCTTTATTTTTCTAACTATATATTTAATAGAAAGTTGTTTTTTAAACAAGTTAAATTTTTAATCCCAAAAAAATTTCATTAAAAAAATTTTATTTTACAAAACAGTGGCAAAAATTTATTAACGTTGTTTTATACCATTTTTTCAATAAACATTTCATAAAATATTAAAAACAAATTTTTTTAAACAAAGTATTTTTAGTTTTGTTCTGCCAAATTATTTTAATTTGTAATTTTTTTGCTAATATTTTTCCAACGCACATTTTTTTATTAAAATATTCCAACCAAAAAATTTGTTCGACTATTTATTTCAATAAAATGTTAAATTCTAAATTATTAAAGTTTATTTTTTTGTTCAAAAACAATTTTATCCCAAAATAAATTATACAATTATTTTAGACAATTTATTTCAATCGTTTATTATTTATTATATAATATTAAAAAAAATAAAACAACAAAGTATTAAATCAATTTGATTTTGTGGTAAAATATAAAATTTTTTTTGTTTGGTAAAATTTATTAAAATTTAAGTATATTTTTTTTAACAATTCCATCCATAAAATTTGTTAGGCAATTTATTTCAATCAAATATTAAATTTTTACAACAAAGTTTTTTTTTTATTCAATTTAATTTAATTCAATTTTTTTTTTCAAAAAAATTAATTTTTTTGTCCAAAAACTTATTCTTTCAAAACTTTTTGGTTCGTGGCAAACATTTTTAAACGTTTTTTAGACAATTTATTTCCGTATTTCATTTTAAACTGTTTACTATATAAAAAAAAAAATCAATAAAGTATTTTTTTTAAATCAATTTATTTTTGTTCTGGCAAAATGTTTTTAATAAAAACTTATTGTTACATTTTTTTTTCAACTTACTTATTTTTTTATTAAAAAATTTTAGCCACAAAGTTTGTTAGACAAATAATTTCAATAAAATATTGTTAGTTAGTTTATTTTTATAAAATATTTTTTATAAAGCTTTTTTATTAAATCAATTTTAACTTTTTAATTGAAATTTGTTTCCTACTTGTTCATTCAAGTAATATAATATAATATAAGATATCAAAATATCTTAAAATTCATATTATTGCCAACAGAGTATGTGCAGTGCAAATGTTTGACAAATAATTTTTCACTTTAGTTTGGATTTAAATCACATTTAGTTATGTAGTATAAACCTTTGTTAACACATTTGTATTATCAAATTTTTGCATAAACTAATATTTTTCAATGTGTTTGGCTTTGTCACCAAACAATAGTCACATGACATCTTTAAACCGTATTTTGTGTGTTAATTTCTTCAATGATTATAAATCACTAATTTGTATACAGTTATTGTTTTAATTGGTTGTGGTGTCTCGGAAAAAACGTGAAATCCTAAAATAAAGTATGTTAACATTTGTTAACTGACGAGTTTTTAATTAAGTAACTTTAATATAAATTAGGGCCAAAAAGCAATAACCCAGTCAGACCAATGCACAACAATAGTTGTGAAAATGTTTGGATTGAAATATTTTAATATATTATTAATTTTGTTTAGCTCTAATTTTAGACGTAAAAAAGAAACTTGAAAAAAATATTGATTGCTATCATGTGTTTATTGTCATTGTTTAGTTGAAATAATATTTTTAGTATTCAAGCTTTCATATACAAACGGGTGATTCAAGTAGAGGTACTTTTTTCAATAGCCATTTTTTGACAGATCACGCGTGAGTCGTGTCAAGCTGTCATGTTGTAATATTTGTTCAGTATTGCTTGGCATTTCATCATGCAAAGACTTACGCCATTTTATCCAGAAAAACCAACCACTTGATGTGGTTTGTGGGTTAATGTCGGTGAGAACGTAACCGTCAGAGGCGACCATTATCGCGCGATGATAACCGCCTATTTGATGCCTGAAATTGAAGTTCGTGATCTTGGCGACATTTGGTTTCAATAAGTCGGCGCCACTTCCCACACTTCGCGTCACTCAATGGATTTACAATTTGTCAAAAAGGTTCGCGTTGATTGGTCGAGAGACACAGAAGGCGTGTGAAATACAGATCAGCCTTGAGATAACGGTGCACAGTGATATTCAAATACATTTTTTCTCTGACCCAAATTAAACCAAAAATTAAGCTGATAATTTTCATAAATAAAGTCGGTAGTCTCTGTGATTGCTAGATATGAGTAATCAATAAATCTCTACATATTATTACTAAAATTATGCAGAAACGAGGCTAAAATAAGAAAAAACGTTTACACTGGTTATACCGAAGTTATAATACCCTTCACAAGTATAAAAGTTGTTTACGACATATATTAGAGAGAAAAATAGAGTCTGAGCGTTTATGTATGTATGTGCCTACCAAAGATGATCACAGTTAAACAAAAAAAGATTATATAATATATGTTTGGCACTGGGTCCGAACACAGTTCCTACAGTGTGAAAGCACGCTTTTCTCACCATTTCGATAAAAATGCTAGCGTTTATAAATATTATTATAATTGTTTTAACTACTTTATCTGGCCATACTTATGGTAAACTCAAAAAATTTGTTTTTTGTTTTTAGCACTTCGATTTTGTGAGCATGATAAGCAGGTCAACTATGTTTTCTGAATGAATTCAGCACAAATCACAATTAGGTAGTTAATAAAAGCAATGTATTTTTTTTTAATTTAAGTATCGGACATTTTTTTTATTTAATACTCCACGTTAATTAGTGTTACATACATTTTGTTTTGGGATTCCAGCACCTCTTGCTATTAAGTTCCCTCCTACAAAGTTTTTTTTGCCCTCAAATTTCGGCCCTAGTCTAAAAGGCATAGAATATATTTTCTTATAAGAATTCGATCGTTTTTAAATTTTTTTAAAATTTAACAATTGAACTTATTAGAAAAGAAGTTCAAAAGAAAACATTCAAATTGAACATTACATCCGGTTATAAGGAAGCAACTGCATATTTCCAAATATTTTATATCAAGAAAAAATGCTTATTAAAATCTCAACTGAAGCGAATTAATAGCTTTATCTCATTACGTAGGGCTTGTTATAGCTGTTGTTGTTGTCACTGTGCTGCTGTTGACTTCACTGACCGCTGCGTCTGCCGGCAAATTCGTTTTGCAGCGTTTTTCATCACTCGCTGCTGTTGATGCGACTTTTCAAGCCGACTCCATTACCATCGACTGCTATAAGCGCATGTGACGTTAGAGCCGCGCGCTTATTGCCAAAGTGTTGAAATCAATTACTAGTTTTGATGGCTCCATTGCCAATATCAGGCAACAAGCAGGCCACCGCCGCTATTTTTTGCCTTTTTTATTGCTTATCTTGTTGTTTTGTTGCTGCTTGTAATGTAAATAGCGTAGTTATCTATTCGTTTTGCTCGCGGCTTATAATATCTTCGCTGTTGTCTCTCCTCCTCTTCTTCAGTGTTTTTGCATATATTTCGTGGTGTATAAACCTCCAAATAATCTCATTAGACTTATTGGGTTATGTCTCTTTTTGTTTTTTATAGCTTTTTATAGTGTGTCAAAAAATTAACAAATTTTAATTTTAGAAATATACAAAAATTTTAAAAATTATTTTTATTCAAACCTGTTGTTCGAAAAATGTTGCTGTAGCGCCCCTTTGATTGCAAAACACTTACAGCTACTCAGTGTGGTTTTTAGTTCCACTGCACCCGGCTGTTTTTTGTTGTTATTATTATTTTAAATTTTTAGTTTTTAGTGTTGTTTTGCGCCAAATTATTTATAATTTATTATGTATGCTTGCATAAAATTTTATTTGGTGTCTAAAAATAAATTAATAAGGTTTATCATCAACCAAAAACTATTAGCAGAATGTCCACCTGTATGTTAGTGTCCTCATTGAATATTTTTTTCGATTAATTATGTTGCATCTAAACTTGTTTCAGTTTAATGAGTTGGTTATCCATGAAATTAGATGCAGAAAATTAACAACTTATTATGGATAAATGAGATTGTGTTTTAACTTAATTAATATAAATTAGTTATTACTAACATAAAATTTGCCAAGTTAATTGGATTTTAAGTGTTTATTATATGCATGTGCGATTTATGTTTCCACATAACACTACAATTAACTTTTACCCTAAACTTTTGAAACTATTTTAGAAAACTCTACATAAATATCAAGTTTTCCGGTAAGCTTTGCAACCATTTTTATATTTAAAATAGTGTATATTATTTGCCACGAAGTTTGTAACACCCGATAGGAAAAATCGACCTTATAAAATTTATATATATATATATAAATAATCAGCATGGCGACTTAGGTCGATTTAGCCATGCTCGTCTGTCTCACCGTCTGTAGATTCGCGAATTAGTCGCTCAGTTTTCGAGATATCGGTCTGAAATTTTGCACACGTCCTTTATTTACCAAGAAACTACTCATTTATCGGAACCGTTACAGCATACAGCTATTGCCAAAAACTGAACGATCGAACTCAAGTTTATGTGTGGAAAACTATTTTCTTTGATAAGCTATCTCGGCGAAGTTTAGCATAGATTATTGTCCAAGGCAACGCTACAATATCCTAAGAAATTTTTCAGATTGGGCTACTATAGCATAATATAGCTGGCATACAACTCACCTATCAAACTCAAGTTCTTGTATGGAAAACTCTTTTGATACTTAACTTTTTGTTTATCACCGGAATAAAAAAAATTCATATGTAAATCAGTGACTAAATTCCACGAACTTTTATCAGTTATTAGCTTTGTTGAATTTTTCTCCACAGAGGTAAATTGTGTTTATGAAAACATCTCACAATCCCTTTCTTCCTAAAATTGTGAAAAATTTGTTGTTTCTTTTGAGTAAGATGCAAATAAAGAACATTGAAAATAATATAATTTTCAAAAATCATTTTTGACTTACATAAATTGACGTGAGAGAAAAAAACTGTTATGCAAAATTAAATTTTAATATTGAAGGTACTTGTCGTCCAGCGCGATTCGTCGAATATAACGATTTTCAAACTTTTCGAAACCATTTTTGTAGTCCGACTTGCATTTTACTTCAAAATTGGCTCCAGCATTTCCAGCAACCATTATATTGAGATCTAAGGACATGAAAATCTGGATGGAATCAAATATGGAAAATACGGTAGATGCAGCATGAATTCGATGCCCAATTAGTGAGAAATCGGAATGATGTATCTGAAACCTTGATTTCATAGTGCTGAGAAGTATGCTATAGAATTGAACTCTAAGGCAATATTCTTATGAAAAAAATGTTTGATTAAAATCTAAGTCATCATTGAATTTAAGATATCTTTAGCATGAAATCTTGATAATGGAATGCTTAGTATGAATCGTGTTTTTATAAATTTTATTGATATTACTCGAAAAAAATTGTAGTTTTAAGCTAATCGCTTATAGTAATTGTCTTCGATTCGCCATTTCTCTACTCGCTATCTCTTGTCACAAAATTAGGTGTAAAAGCAACAACAAATTAAACGTGCTGAATTGATACAGTAGAGTATGCGGATACCGCATTAAAATTCAATGTTACCAAGTTTTTTTCTTACACATTTTAGACCAGTTTTAGCATTGTGAATGGTTTAACATATATGCCAAATTCTTCTTAAAAATTAAATATTCATGTTCAAGCTATGTTGTGTTTTTTTGCTTTACCTTACAAAGGAAGTAACATTTTTTTCCATTAATTTTAGCTTTATGATACCAGACTACTGTAGTATTTTTCAAGCAGAAGTGGCTGCAATTAAGGTAGCAGTAGAAGTACTGCTACGAGTGCTGCTTCATTCAGAAAGGTATGCATTCAATCCGACTGCAGAGCCAATACTGACGGCGCTGAGAGGGCGCTCAAGGGAAGTCAAAGAATTACTTCGATATCAGACTGATTGAGGTGCCTGGTCATAGCAAAATTGCTGGAAACTGCAAAGCAGATAAGCTCACAATAAAAGGCACCCTTACCCAATCTAATTAGACTGGGTCGGTGCTCTGCGGTCTGTTACATTTTAGTACTGGCACTGTGAACCATGTGTAAGCTCAGAAGCTATTAGTTAACAACCAACACGTGTACACAAGTTATATTGTTCTAGATCAAAGTAAAGTGTAGTCCCTCTTACACTTTACTTTGATGGTGGATTATTAGCTCTTAGCAAGGTTCATCGCACCGCAAAGATAGTAGTTCTCACTGGATACTGTCTGGTTGGGTATCACGCGATTAAGTATTTAAACACTGCATCAGCAACGTCAAACGGATTGTAATTATGCGTTAAAAGTCTACTTCGAATATTTTGTAACACGAAGTCCTTATTTTGCAATACTCTCTAAAAATTTTAATTATTCAATAATAAAATATTAACAAATAACATTTGCTTGAAACACCTGTTTCGATGTGAAATAAAAAGACTCCGAAATAAATGAAATCATTGCAGAACACCTTAATTGAGATTAATCTGGTTTGTGAAAACGAAATCAAATCAATTTCATTCGGTTTCTGGAACATGCCTGATAAATTTGTTTTTTGTCTTTGCAATATTTTATATATTTTTTTACTGCCAATTTTTTGGATATGTGAATACTCCAATAATCTGAACACTTTTAAATACTGTGTTTTTTTTATCTATGTACATATATACATAAATATTACATGTCACGTTTTGTCCGGGGTATCTCCAAAACTACTGAACCGATTTCAGTAAAATTCAGCACCTTGTGTCCGGTTTGATCTAACATAAATGGTAGGATAGTTTAAATCTCCAATTTTAAAATTAAAAATAATTCATTGTACTCGAGTACAATCCCTAGAATTTTTATACCGGCAATTATGTTTTCGCCTTTATTCGTAAATAACATTTTCACTGTATTCAATAAAAATTAATCCCTTAATGTGTTGCTAAGCGCAAATCTCGAGAACAGCTGAACCGATTTCGTGAATTCTTTTATTAGAATATTTTTTGAAATACGAGGATGACTCTTACGATTAAAAAAATTGTCTTAAATAGCCTAAAAACTACAGTTTTCTATACTCCCATACAAACGATTCGTAATCTTATACATATATGTGTATAAAAGAGAGTCGTGTTATTTACAATATTTATACCTTAAGAACGGTTCAACCGATTTGGCTGAAAATTGATGAGGAGATAGCTTAGAACCAGGGACGGACAAAGCATACTTTTTATCTCTTTAAGTTAAAAGTCAATCACTTCATAAATACAAAAATTATATTTCAAATCATTAGCAGAACATGGTGGTTTTTTTTTTAGGACGCACCATATGGAACCGGTAAGACATTTTTAATATCACAACTGAAAATCACATGGATATTGCATCGCTAAGGCAAAGCGGCTACTTTGCTAGATTATGGGCAAACGACGCACTGGCATGGCTAACAAATATTCTCAAAGCATTGCACAGAACAATGCAAGATTTAAACGGCAATGATGAAGTTTTCGGTGGTGCTGTCTTATCACTGTCTGAGATTGCCGACAGCCTGCCCATTCTTCACTTATTTTCACGCAATTAGATTAACGAATGTTTAAGTAATCGTTCTTATGGTGAAACGCTGAAACACAGAACACAGAAATAATACAATTTCTAGATAATTGAGAGTATAATCCTAAGAATAAGAATTAATTGTTTGGATCATAACTGGCTCAGTAATTGGGCTACATTAGCGGCAAGTGTAGAAGTTGATTGAATTACAATAGTTTCCAGTTACAACAGTTGTTGGCTATCAAATGTATTTTAAATCAATTGCTACTGTTGTTGATCAAAAACATTACAGCAAATATTATTGCCACCTTTTCCAATGATACTGAATATACGATAAGAATAGAGCTGAAGTAAATTGAAAATGTTTATAATTAAGAACTATACATATTTTTTTGGAAAATTAAGAATGATCTACCCGTTTTATTTATCTCAAATGTTATCAAAGAACAAATATTTAAAAATATACTAATTTGTTACAAACTTGAATATAAAATTAATAAATTAAAAAAATCAACATAATATATGGTATTTTATGTTTATTTGTGCTTAATAACAAAACAAAAAAAATTAGTATTCATCATTTTTAAATTTCGAAGCAATTTAAAATTCGAAAATAATGTTTTCGTTTTTATTCATAAATAACATTTTACTGTATTGAATAATTTATAATTAATGTATAGCTTAGCCGCAGCGACGGGTTCTCTAATACTATTGTAGATATTTATAGAAAATGCAAAGCTCGTAATTAACAGACTAGTAAATTATTATTTTTTGACGAAAAAATATAATTTCTTCATCATATAAAGAACCGCAGACGTATTGCCCTTAAAGGCCTTAGCTTTCGATTGTCAATTAAATATAATTAATATTGTACTTGTTAAATGAATAAGTGGCATTTAATAAGAGAGAAAACAGTAGCTGAAGCGATAGCAAAAACCAAGCCAAAACTCCAATTAGCACACAAGCTTACAAAATGTTATCAAAACAATGCACATATTGGGACCATTGGCAGCAGCAACGCTAAATTTCAAGCGACAACGTCAAGCAAAATTGGGCGCACTGTTATCTATGAACCCAACAGTGTGCCAAACTGGTCAGCGCAGCATTGTCCAAGACAGCTTGTCACTTGACACATATCCAATGATGTCTATCAATAAATGGCTAACGCAGTGGAACACACACAAATACATACACACTTAAAGTCAACATAAGCGCGTGTTATTTCCTAACTTTCACTCGCACTACAATCAGAAATGCGAAGTGATGTTGGAAAAAAACAGAAAAAAAACCTTTTATTGAACTTTAGTGCGTTTGCGCTCATTTCCGCACACACTCATCCACCAAATGCATTCAGGCAAATCGTGAAAATTAAAAAAAAACTAAAAAAAATAAAGTGCCAACTAATGCAAAAAATTATAGTTTAACGATTTGTTTTGATTTTGTCACCGTCAATTTGGGTAATTGTTTGCATCATCGCCTGTGGCAACGGTGGCAGCACGGCGCTAGCAAGCTTAGTCAGTGTTTCATTAAAAATAGCAACGCTATCACTGCTTGGTTGACGTTACTGCCGCCGCTACACATGACTGACTGCCACGCGGCAGTGGCTAACTTTCTGCACGCACCGGACATGCATAAATCTTCGCTGTGCGGCAGTCAATCACTGCGCAGCCGTCGCGCCATCTGAAGCTGAGTGGATATGCGTCTTTCGACTCATTTAAGTGGTTGAAAGTGTGTGCGAAGGCAATCACAAGCATCGTGGCAGCTAGAAAGGTAGCCTATCTCGCTGGATAATGGTTTGCTGCGATTGCTGTTGGCTGCTGTTAACAACTACTTGTGCTTTGTTTTAAGACTAGCGTGCCTACAGGCTTATTTGCGCACTGACGCTTGATTTACGAACTAACCTGACAAGTGCTGGCAAGCTGCCTGCCCATCTAGTTAGCTGAGCGATCTGCTGCTATTCGACATGCCCGCTTGTTTGATTGCTTTGCCATAGATATGATTAGCTATGTAAATATGTATGTATGTGCGTGTATGTGCCTCGGGCATTCACGTGTAGGCCAGAAGGCCATTGATCGATCGATGCGTGTTGTAACGATCGATATGCGAAAAGTTGACATTTGATTGACGTTTGTCACTATTACGAGCGACGAAATGCAGGATAGGAAATGGTTGCATTTAATGATGTTACAGGAAATTTAATATTTCAATCCCCGGTAGTCTTATGCCATGTTCCAACCAAAAATTTGAAGTTATTAGATTACATTAATCTGTTCACTAATTTAGATTATACTCGATGACGTTGAATACAGCTGTTTTTGACATTAAAAAACTCACATCGTTTAATATTATTATAATATTTAAAAGCAAACATTGTTATGTCGTATTTTGTTACAAAAGTCGTTTTGTTTAAAATATTTTCCATTTAAGGATAATGGACAAATTTTTTGATTTGGGAACTCGATTGCCAGGTGAATTCAGATGTATTGCTTTTGATTTATGTGTTTCTTTACATTTTTTAAAATCTAAAGTAGTAGATTAAATCTAGTAGTTTAGTGAGATAATCTACTCAACAGTCTAAATCTCGTGCTTAAGTGTCAGTCGGAACATATTCAAGTCCGATACGCTATACGGAGAGGCTTTATTTCGCGTAAATTTCTTCTACAGTTTTGTTCTTCAAACATAATCTTTATTTTTATAAATGCAAAACACATTGGCTGTCACCAGAAAGTGTTGCACTCGTTTATGATTTTAGAAGATTATTTTTGATAAAAGTTTCACAAGAAATTTATAAATTAATATTAAAAAAAAAAAAACAAATTCAATAATCTTTAAACTAGATAAAAAAATTTTAAACATAAATATGATTACTTTTTATCAAACAATTTTGCCTTTTTTCTACTCAAAGCATATTATCCGTCTGTAAATTATTTGCAGGAAGTGCATTCTCTTTGGTGGAGTGGTATAATTTTTGATTGAAACCAAATCATTATAATATATATTTATAACCACAACAGGTCTGTCTCATGACTTTTAGTGGATAGGAGTACATTTTTTATATTTTTAAGACTCAAATACTTCCAAATAATTTTCTCCTCAAACCTTCATTGTCTTATGTTTCTTAGATCTTCTAATTGCTTTAAATGGATAACGTTAGAATCGTGCTAGGATTTCAACTTAACTATTCGTAAGAAATTTGATATACTTGTAAGCATTTCGAACTAATTTTACTAAGGTTCGATGAACAATTGTTCAGAAGTAAACTTTAGAGACCCTCTATATATGTAAAAGATCAGAGTGTCGAGCTGAGTCGATTTAACCCTGTCCGTCTCTTCATCGATCCTTCTATTTGTATACGCGAACTAGTCCCATAGTTTTTGAGATATCGATCTGAGATTTGGCACGCGTCGTTTTGTTCACAAGAAGCTATCGAACCACTATATATAACTGCTATACAAACTGAATAATCAAAATCAAGTTCTTGTATAGAAGTTTTTTTTATTTCACGAGGTATTTGAGGATTATTGTCCTAGACAACGCTATAATCTTCGTATAAAATTTTCATATGATATCATATAATTATATAGCATATAACTGTTAATCAAACTGACCGATTAAAATCCAAATAAAGGTCTTTTTTTATCCTTTAATATTAGAAAAAATTCACCTGTGAAGGGTATTGTAGCTTCGGCTTTTTTTCGATTATTCCTAGTTTTTCTTTGTAGTTTTGCTATTTAACTGTTCATGTATAAGTTCCGGGGTTCTAGAGCAACCATTTAACCTAGAACCTGACTTTCTTCAAAGATTAAGGTACTTTACTATATATTTTTTGTACTTTATTTTTTGTTTTGTATTTTGTGTTTTTTTATTTGAACTAGGAAAAATATAAAAATACAAATGAAAATACATTTTTTTTCATAACGTATGCATATGTAGTTGCGTTGAATACTGTATGCGTGTGAAAAACATACATACTTGTATTTATAAGATACTGCATTGACAACTGCCCTCCGGCATTTGTGCACAATTAGCAGGATTGTCATTCAGTTTGCCTAGTTACATCAAAAAGCCTTTCATTGCGCTCGTCGTTAACTGTCAACGATTTATTGTTATTTTTTTCTAACGTTTGTCTGTATAACAATATATTTGAAAACTTAAAAAAGGTCTTTTGCTTATTATATTATTTGATCACAAGCATACACACTTACAAGACCAAAATATATGAATACGCAATGTTACCCATTAATTTATTGACATACTTTACAGTTTTTTGACTTCTTTTGTAAATGTTCATTTGTTCCAAAAATATGGCAACATAACTGATTTACAATTTGTCTAATAATTTACCAAAATTGCATACTGCTTTCCATTTCAAATTATATATATTCGAGAGTTCTTTAAAATTATATACTATATATGCAAATATAATTATATCACCGTGAGTGCAGGCAAAGTTAAAGAAAAGCTTGTTAATATAGCTTCAGACTAGGTTATAGGGATTAGTAATGAATATGGCAAGGAAACAGCGAAGAAAATTTTTAAATTATATTAAAATCCTTAAATTCAATACTCACACGGAGCTGGTCATAAGTGGGAAGCCATTATCGATTCGCTACTTCTCTGCTCGTTAAATTTGAGCTCCGAAAATTAACATTTGAATGCAACAACACTGTTGTTTGGCTGGATGCAGTACAAGTTAGCAGACGGATACCTCTTTAACGATTGTATAACTGCTTGCTATTCTGCCTCTATTCTGTTATGCCAATATATTTGGTTGATGCTAGCTGTTTGTTCGACTCGCCACTTTCCAAACTCAAAAGTGACGAATCGAAAACAACAAGTAACTTATATTAATGAATACATAAAAAGGATTATCATATCTTCTTTATTGTAACAGCAATAATTGCTATTGCTTATTGATAGTTATTAATGCTGTGAAATTAGTGAATTCCAATCCACTCAAAATGAGTTATAATTATATTTGTTACATCAAATGCATTATAATTTTGTTATTATGAAAAAGGGTCACAATAATGGATAACAAGGTAATCACATGCCATATTTTTTGTTACGAAAATTGCATAACATATTTTATATGAAGTTTGTTAAAAAACAAATATTTGTTTAAGTTAATTTATAGTTAACTTATTTTGTAAATTTCTTTAAATATTAAATTTCATATTTTTCTTTTCAGTTTTATTATTTTGTGGCGAAAATGTGTACTTTTTTACGACATTGGAATCTCTATAAAATTCATAGTTTTCATCGGTAAGTCAGAATTTTCGTAAAGTTATTAATAGCAGCGTTGTTGTTCAGAGCAGTATAAAATATCTACCTTAATATCAAAAGCTTTATTGGTTATTTGCTATTTACATACAGTTCTATAAAATTAAAATTATGTGCCAAATTGATAAAATTTGTGCTTCTGTTTAATTTCAATTTTCCACATAATTTTCGTTTTCATCTTTTTATTTCAACAAATCTGTCCACCGTCGCAGATCTATTATCGGTTATTTAAATAACTAGTTATATATCTAGGGCTCAATGTTCGTAGACTAAAGCTAAATTAATTGAGTTACTGCTTTAATAATTATTAGCCGATTAATAAAAGTACTAGGTGTGATTAACATTTTTTATTCATGAAAAAATTTCGATACCTCAAATAATTAATAATTTTGAAATAAAATATATTCTGCAAAACTTTTGTAAGATATAGACGAAAGTTCAAACCAAAAATTAAAAGTTACAATATACTAAGTTTATACCTATGTAACATATGTTTAATCAATAGTTAAACATTTGTAAGGTATTTGACCGAACTTCTCCTACCTTTGCTGTTGTGCTCTGAAATTTTGCACACGTCCGTTTTTCTCCAAGAAGCTGCTCATTTGTCGCAACACCGCCAATAGCAAACCACTATAGCATATAGCTGCCATACAAACTGAAAGATCAAAATCAACTTCTTGTACATATAAAATCTTTTTTACTTGTAAAGTGTATTCAAGCTTCGGTGCAATCGAAGTTAACATTTTTGCTTGTTATAGATTGAGGAAGCGTGGAATAACTGTTTTCAATTCAGATTTCATTGGAGCAGTTTTTTTCCTATTCTAGTTCTTCAGGATATGCAGATTATTTTCCGTTAAAAACATAACTATTTTTTGCAAAGTAATGTAAGTAGTTGAAGTCAACATAGCATAATTAATGACTATTCGAGTATGGGCTTATAATTTTCATATTCAAATTTAGTATCTTTAATTATTGATTTAAAAGTTCAGTTCCTTTGGATGATTTCATTACTGTGTCGATGTACACGATTTATGGTTGAAATATGTTGAGCTTATTTGATTAAATTACACTATTCTCTATATTCAACATAAATCAATAAATAATGCTCAACTCATTATGTATTGACATTTTAAAAAGAGTGTAGAAACTTTAATATTTCCCTACAATTAAATTCAGGTATTAGTTTCTGTAATTTTGATGCAGATATTTTATTGCCTTTTTATTGGAAATAATTGTGGAAAACTTCCTTTATTCTTTATTATTATTTTTTATATAATATTATTATTATTATTTTTGTATAATATTCAGTTTTATTTACAATCTGCATTATATTTAATTAAACTTAAAAAAAAGTTTTTTTTTATTTCGAAAGCTTTTTGTAAACATTGCTTTAAAAATTAGAGGTATAAGTCAAATGGTAATAGAAATAAATCGGTAAACTTAACAGAGTGTGTGACATGGTGGGTCATGGGTTCAGAGCTCAAAATTAACCTTACATAATGTTTACTGTTGTTGTTATTATACTTGTAGCTAAAGCAGTATAATATATTTTCCGAATAATTGGGGAGAAAACAGTTGAAGAATGGGTTCTTAATCACATGTAAGGTTATTTCTTTTTACCCGGCTAATATGGTTATTAAAAATATTTCGCCCTTTGGCTATCTCTTAAATTTAAATATAATTAATTTCGTCTTAATTGCAAAAATATGATTTTTCTCAGTTGTTTTCGTTTTAATGGTAATTGTTTAAATATTCATTTGCTTAATATTACTTGTAAAATTTAACAAATTATGCAATTAAAATTGAATAAACACCAAGTTCCGTTTCCGACGCAATTTAAAATGCAATCAATCACAATGATATTCAAATTTTCTAATTTATAAACCCACTGTAAGCAAGGTCAGCAGGTAACAGCATTCTGCTGAAGCTGTATGTTAAGCTGCAAGAGCTGGACTATAGTTACATATATAAAGCTTGGAGCTACATATATACCATACATGTGTAACATGCGCATATGATTTTATCTTTTTATTAGTCACTTTCATCAATATTTTTCTCATGCAACCTCGAGGCGTTTGTTGTTCGCTGCCACATATGAACCCACCAGGTGAACAGTGGCTTACAGTAGTACGCAATAGAAACGTTTATGTCATGAACTAGTGCAATATGCAGCTGATTTTATATGATTTTTATTTTTTGAATTTTGCTGTTGTTAGTATTTGTCGCTTTTATGTTTCTATTCTCTCAGCTTGCCATAACAATTAATAACATTAAAAATGCGCCAAATACAACAATAGTAATAAGAGTATCACTGCAAAAATGACTTTCAAGCAGCATAAAACTTATCTTACGTACTTGACTTTAGCCGGCAAGCGCTCGACATGATTATGAGTGAATTGTATAGTTGAACCATTTTGTCTGCCATAACTGGTAGAATTGCTTGTGGCGTCAAGGACGTTTACTGACAGCAACAGACAAATTTACATAAGATCATATTGATATATACATATATAAAAGCGCATAAGAGAGTATATAAATATGTACATATAAATATAGATATATATGTGTATATAACTTTGAAATTGCAGCACAGCGTCAACAAGCGAGTGTAACTGCTGTTATGGCCATCGATAGCATGTTGAAATGTGAATATTTACTGGTGCAATTTTATTTTTTTTTTTTCGATTTGTTCTGATTTTAATCGCGCACCATAAACTGCACGCTGCATGCATAAATTAACATATATATGTATAGTTCTTGGCGGGGTAGCAGTACACAGTTGCAGTTGCCACAAAAATGGGCGTTGCAATTTTAACAGCTCCAGCGAAGTCAACGCGACATTTGCGCAGCGTCGAATTGGCTTGTTGAGCGTAATTTCGGGCCAGACACGTTGCCATAAAGACAGTAAATGTTTTTGATATATACATATTACTGTTTAAATATATATTTTCATGTGTAAATGTGTACATATCTAACTGTACAATTGTAAGTTGTCGCATGCGCTGGCATTTCTGCATATGCGTGCGTGCGTGCAACAAGTGCAGTGAAAATGTTTGGACAAAAATTGCTTCAAATTTTTCTCTATCTTACCATTTGAGTTTTTCAATTTAGTTTTGGTTTTTTTGTTAATTTTTTTCTTCGCGTATTTTGCACTTTAAATTTTCGTTCTAAATTGATTTTTAAACTGCAATTGCATTTCATTAGCATTTATATATTTCAGTGATAACGATCTTGATTGTGCTAATTGCATGCCATTAACACTTTGTGCGCCGCCAGCTGGTTTTATGCAACAATATTTTTATTTATTTTTTGTTTTAATTTTAATTTTTTAGTTTTTCTTTTAGATTTTGTTTTCACATTTTATTTTTACATTTTGTTTCTAGATTTTTTTGCTCAATATGTTTGATTACAAAAATTGCGAAACACCAAAAAACACTTTTTCTGGCCACTTTAAATTAATTGCTTAACAATTGTGTGTGTGCAATTTTTTTGCGACCGCCATTTTTTATTACTCACACAATTTTTTTTGTACAAGCTAGCAGCAACAGCATGTTGTAAATGTGTCAATTTTAATTGAATCAAATCAATAGTCCATGTTCGTATCAAATCAACAATAACAACAATCACCAATGAGTGAGCTATAGAACAATCGCCACACAAAAGACTTAAGCAACGAACTCGCTTGTGCAATTGCCCTTATTCATTGTGTATTGCATTTGAAATTGACTGAAGAAAGTATATAATATATAAAATATTACAAAAATGCATATGTGTGTTTATAAAACGATGTCATAGTTCTAAGGGTGATCCATTTCAAGGTTTCCTTTTTTTTTTAAAGAACACAGGAAAATTCAAAATTAATGGGGAATGTTGATTATCATGCGAAAGAACATTCTTTGGCATTTATTCTTTGAAGGTTATGCCTTTCAAATGTTGGCTTTAGACGTTACATATCCCCACACGAAATAGTCTATCGGTGTGATATCACACGATCTTGGTGGCCAATCGACCGGCCCAAAACGTGAAATTATCTGCTCATCGAAGTGTTTTCTCAATAATTCCAATTGATGCGATGTGTGGGCGGTGGCGCCGTCTTGTTGAAACCAAATGTCGCCGAGGACACACGCTTCAATTTCAGGCATCACGGTTATTCCACCGGCCCAGAAACCACCAAATCGTTCTTTTTTCTGGATGGAATGGCAGCTTTTAAATCTCTTTAGATTGCTCTTCGTCCCAAATGCGACAACTTTGCATGTTTATATACCCATTGAGTCAGAAATTGACCTCATCACTGACCGAAGTTTGGCTTGAAAACGTCAGATCTTCTAGGAACTTTTCAAAAGCCCCTAGAGCAAATCGATGTCGCTTGGTAAGGTCGAGCGGCTTAAGTTCCTGCACAAGCTGTATTTTGTTTGCTTTCAATTGAAGATCTCGACGTAAAATGCACCAAGCCATATACATCAGTCCGAGTTGCTGCAAACGGTGCCGAATCGACTCCCCACGGTCTTCGTGTACACTCTCATCTTCGGCCGTTATATTTTCTTCACTGCGTTCGGGACGTGGTCTATTCGGTCGAATATTATCCAATAATGAATGCTGAGACCCAAGATCGGTGATGGTGGTCAAATAATAAACAATGATTTCGTGCAGAGTATGCTATATTATCTTAATTGCAACTTTCATCGTAAAATTGTCGTGTATCATACCATTTTTAAATATTAAACACTGTATTGTAGAATTTTTTTTTTTATTATTATTTTTATTAAATTATTAGTTTTATCAATTTATTTATTTTTATTCATGAATGTATTAGGCGTCAAATTATTGCCAGGTGTTGTTTAGTTTAGTATTATATATACTACAGTGCTTTCAAAATATTACGTTTTCGTTTTCCGAAGTATGGCTAGCGTTTATCGAGAAAAATATTATGATTAGAGAAAATAAATTATTTTGTTATAGCTGACGTTTATTTAATATCTGCT